AGGAAAAAACAGGAATGGTGCATGATTTCGGATAGTCGGGCAACTTGTGCAGCATTCGGTGGAGCGATTCCTTGTTAGCGGCATGGGTGAGGATATACACTCCTGATGAGACCTCATGAGGGCGAGACTCGAGTTCAGTATGGACTATCCGGGATAACTGCGTCAAGACAGGAGGACGACTGTTCAAACGAAAGTGAGGTGAACGTAGATTTTCGGAATATCGAAACAAAAAATACTCTCAGCCTGGTTGCTTCTGCTTATAGCCCACAGTAAACTTTCTTCAATCCAACATCTGCTCCTTTACTTGCGATTTATCAAATCAGCTGACTTATCAGGCACGCAACAACACAAAACAGTTTCACATAGCTTTCTAGCACACCTTTGAAATGAATGTCTCACAATGAAGGCAAGTTCTTCTATTGATTTTTATTGAGGGAAGGTGAATGCGTGCGCAGCAGAACAAAGTGAGGCAGCGCGCGCGCGCATCACACTGTGTCTATCTATTACGTTACTCAGTTATGCCGGGTCACATCAAATCTAGAGAGCTGATAACAACAAGCTTTAGATCAATGCGTAAAAATTTGATATAGATATCAGGGGAGTTTTATTCAGAGAGAGGGAGAAAGAGGGTGAATGAATACATACAAGGAAGGGTGCCGAAACTGTAAAGTTTGATCGCTATAAAATGTTCAGTTACCCCAATCACAGTGAACCCCAGGATATGCCATTTTTCAGCGACCTGAGCGATTCCCGAAACTAAAGGCTCCTGTTAGACATACTTCCCCCATGGGGTTTCGTGGCTTCCACAAGGTGTGATTTACACGGAAGAAACGTGCAAACGAAAATTATGCGATAATCTAAAAATTCTGTTTTTTGCTTTAATCCACAAACGTAAAGCGTTTCACAGATTAAATACCGTTGTCCTCTAACCGTCATAGAATCTGAAGAAAAACACGAAGCAATTTCCAGCACCTGTCTTCTGAGGTGGTCGATATTGACAAACTGAGATATAATTCTTGTGTGAACTATTAAATATTTCAAAACCGCATCGGCTGTAGTGATTACTCCTGTTTTGAGGCAAGCGACAAGAGTTACAAAACCAAGGATTCTAGACTGACTTTTTCAATATTTGTTATCCTTTACTTACCAAATTAGAATAAAGGGAGTAAAAGTAAGTAGGTGATACACACAGTAACTCGGGTGCGTTGCTCTCACGTTTGATACCATCATTAGTTCGCAAGTTTGAATGACCTGTGCTGCTTATTGGAATCTGGACCATATTCACAGCTCATTGATGACCGTTCCTTTCGACACAGTCTACTGTTTCTTACTCAGTTCTGTTCCCTTGTTTCTCTCAATGCCACAACGTTCACCTCTTTTTATACCATGTATTCCTAACCATGGAAAAATTCTTGGGCTGCAGTTCATCAATGACAGCCTATTCAGTCTTTTTGGTGGACGGAAATGTGGATTTCAATCCTACTTGCTCGTCAATTTTTCAACGATGCGGTACCACGTGATGATATCCAAACTTGCCCTCGTTCCTGTTCTAGGGGGTCTGAGGTCCGGACTTATCGAGGTTCGGCCTACCAATACGAGAAGCCATAGGTAGTAATGCAATATAAAGCCGAGACAACAGGCACATTAGATCTCTGGAAAAGATTCATTGTAATTTGGTAACCTTGGTCACCATGGCAGAAGAATTCACTGTGAATACTTACGGGAAACCGCGAAATGCTTTTGGTGAATGATGATTTTAATTTGCCACAGATGGCATCTGAAAGCTTCATAACTTATCGTCGGACACAGAGACCAATGGATGTTTCAACTTGAAACTTTGAGCATGAATCATCCAGTGCATTACAATTTATCAGGTTATTTACTAATAACAAATACAGGATGACCGTAATAGGTGGATTTTTTTATATTGAAGGTACGAATTGTGCTTTCGATAGTCTTGACACATCCGTTACTTCTTTCTACACTTTGAACTTTTAACTGCTTTTAAAAACCAAGGGTGCTTCACACGATGGCATAGTTTGATGTTGATCCATTACACAAAAGCTATACAGTAGGGGTTATTGGTAGTTCAGCTTTTAGGTGAAGGATTTCAAGATGAGGTCATTAAACGCTGTGCCGAATGAACACGTTCTCTTGCTTGGAGTTGATAATTCACTGGTGTTTAACATGGACTAGTGAATACCTGGTAACACACCCCTGTTCAGTTCAAATCCTGACATAGCCAACACTGAAATGTAACACCCTTTCCGTATCTAATTGTCAAGCTACCCGAAGGAAACACAAGGGTTGAGATACTGCCAGGTTGCCCAAGCCTAGACAGAGGAAGTCGAGAGGTAGAGGTCGGGTTCGGACCACTGACCTTCCGGTCGGTAGGTTCGTGTCCAAAACATTGAGCTACCTCCAGCCGATGATATGCACTACTGACTGAGCTCTAACAGCAGTGAAGCTCGATACCACTGCATCCCCTGTTTGCTATGGAGTCATCAGAGCAATTGCAATGCATGTGAGACAGTGGTGATAACACACTTGCTTCGCATGTCGAATGTCCGAAGTCCAACTCACTGCACACTTGCTGAGCTCTGGTGATAACTAAATTCTGGAGCGGTGATTAACCACTTTTTTGTAGCCAAGACAGATTAATCTAATGGGAACATGAGCGGGACCGTTCAGACCGCACACTAACTAAAGTGGCTGGAAACTGAATAGCTTCCGATTTACTGGCTTACATTTATGAAGCCAAACTGGGTTGTTTGCTCTCCGACATCTGAAATGGTTAGCCATTGGGCATTTTGTTCAATCGAGAGCAACAGGGTACTGCTGGCGTGACTTTGTCGTTCATGCGTAATAGTGAGTCTGCACACTCCTACTAGTGGAGCTCGTAGGTTAGTTTGCCTACGCCACGCAATTTATCGTGAACAAACCTCTATAGTAGTGCATTTGGGAAAATAACGCAAAGTTCCTGTTGAGATCGTCATGGAATAAACTATCACCGACCGAAATCGTGCTAAGACCACTTCTAGCGACCATATTCAATATGACTGGATGCCCTCTTATGAGGTGGGATATTCATGGTCAAGACGCGGTTACAAGACATCTTACGGTGGTGGTTCTGAAACTTTCTGGCTCATCGCCCCTCTAGCTTCCGACACCCAAGCGGTAAAGCGCGTGATCCTTTGTGGGGGGGAATGCTGGAAGTTCACGTGGTTGACAGGAGCTCCGTTTGTAATGTTTGTGTTGCGCCTGCCTGATGAGCCCCAAAAAGGGTGAAACCGGTCGTGGGCTGTCGACGGATTTTCATCAACCGTATGAGTAGTACATTACAAAGGTATACATGTATCGTGATATCTCGAATATCGTAGCGACTGAAACATGACGCGGCCTGATGCAGCACATTCAGTTACCTGGGAACATCATAAACGAGAAGTTCAATTGAGTTCCAGGTGAGTCTCTCTCCTATGTGCGATTCCGTAAAAATCAGTAAGCAAAAACTGATTCTAAAATGTAATACAGCGTTCATGCACACTGCCCCCCCCCCACAAGTTAATCTCCAAGCGCAGAACAAAAACCGCACCTCAAGAGGTCACTGTGTTCCGCGAACTGTACCAGTGGGTCGATAGGGAAAATACCAACACTCTCTAGGGTGACCAAAAAACACTGACATTTTCGGTTTTCCTAATCTCTTACTAACTTTTACATGAAGTTTAGACATTACTTGGAAAGAGTTAATTTCTGTCTACTGGTTACCCGTACCCATTCCTGTTGATGAATGATAGCTGATAACTGAGTAGTTCAATGACTTGTATGTATGTATTAGTACTAATGCGTCCTAGAGCCTTCACTGAAGTGGTTGGTAAAAACGTCCCAGTCAACCGTAAGAACATTTCCAAGTGTTAGCAGCTGAATCGCCCAATAAGAGTTGAGTTTCGGACGTAGTACACTACTCCTAAGGTTGCTGGAAACTCTTTGAAAGCCTACAACTGGTTTCGCTCTTCTTGCGGCTCATCAGGTTGGGTGCAGTCCCCGAAATTTCATCAACCTTATGTTCTACTTGAACCCGAATTGCACGAAATTAGGCTTATGCACCGTTCCGCATACCATTTTAGTTAAGACGGAAGACTCACTGAGTTTTGTTTAGGTTCATATCACGGGAAATGGGATTTTCCTCCCTGTTGAAGTCCAACTGAGTCGAGATGACATCGAAATGACACCGTTTCACTCATCCTGCTCATCATTTTCGTCCTCACCTTCATCATCATCATTATCATAATTGAATAGAACACGTCAGTAATACATATTACCTTAAATGAATATGATTCTCTTAAGGGTAAACAAAAAAGCATAGATTGGCTTCACTTGCAGGACGAACTCTCCACAAAAATCTCAAATCTCCTCACACTATCAACAAGGTTAAAGTGTGCCTGGAATGACGATGAAGCCGCAGCATGTGACACACGCGCGCATCACACCGCAGGTCATCACTGAAGCCACTCATATTTGGCAAATATACCTCTGATGGTTGGTTGTTCAGATTTAAAAGTGTGGATAAAACCCATCATGACCAGACAGCGCGCACGGCCCTTGTTTCCTTAACCAACGGTTTACCGCTTAAGACTGAGCACGCAAACGACAGAAGAAATTCACAAATGTTGCGGTCCTGTTGTTTAGTATGATGAAAGGGTTACCCCCGCTAGTTAAGCCAAATGCTTCAGAAACATAACCCAGTGCCAGATTCCCGTCGAGGACGACATGTTGAAAGGGAGGCTATAGTAGTTCGACAATGCCGTGTTCTTTTCAATTGTAAAATGAAGGCGCACTTCGAATAACTTGAAGCAAGCTGAACAGTTCTGCCCCGAAAGTCATACAATATACCATTGGTACTTGTCGAATACAGAATAAGTGAACAAACTTGGACCATTCGGATTTGTTTATACATAGTTACTATCCATGGATCGATTATAGTACGCGAAGATGTGTGTGGACAGTGACTTGCAGGGTTGTGTACAGAAGCCCATCTGAATTGGTAGGTTCATCAACAAAGCATAAATATAAACGGATCACAAATACAGACAACAGCATAAAAATTGTTAATGCTGCGTATCGTTGCCTCCTTTGATGCATTTTGGTCTGTTGCCCCAACTCATCGCGTTCTTGCTAATACTTTCAATCCATCGTCCCAAGACGGTCCGGTCCGTCAAAGAGTGTAATCTAAATCTAGTAGCAGAGTCTAGCTAGGATAGTTCCTCAATAACATAACATTCAAGGGACCCAGAAGTTTCTTCGTTGAAGATGGTGGGGCGAGTAACGTAAGCGGTTCTCGACACATTTGGAAACTTGTTAACGAAATTCGGTTGTCTGCGAGTGCTTCCAGTGAGATAATACTTAAGTTGTGCACAATATGATTACGGCCAAGACAAAAAAACCACGCAAATAATTTTATCGTTTGGGTCGTAACAAAAAATGTAAGTTCACAAAGGACTCTGTCGATAACAGGCATCTGTCTTCATAAAGGAGACTACTCACAAGGTTTCTGAAAACTCTTCGACAGCCCGGTTTCGCCTTTCTTGGGGCTCATCAGGTAGGCGCAGTACCCGAGTTTCCGTAAACCTTATGTTCCACTTGAATCCAAATTGGACTGTTTTCGAGAAATACACTCATCTACAAATCAATTTCGTTTTCATAAGAGGCTCAGCTGAATCTCTCGTTTATGATATTCTACAACTGAATAAAAATGTACTGCGATATCTCGAATATCGTGCCAACTGAAACATGAGGCGGCCCATGTCGAGCACATTCAGTTATAGAATGTCATAAAGGAGAGATTCAGTTGAGTCTCTCGTGAAAATCGAATTGATTTGCAAACGAGTGTATTCCTCGAAGGCATCTGCCTTCGTTTGAAGAGGTCGCTTGGAGGGATCAACGAAAAACGGTCTCCCATTTAAAGGACTTCACTGTTTAAAGATTCCTCGAGTAACCATCAGAAATGGTCGCTTCTGGAGGGTGATTCTTCCCGAGAGGGACTATTGTACCACAGATACCAAGACACGGCAGACTGTCCTGAACTATGAAGCACACCATTTGAAAGTAACTGCGGTTGGTGTGTAATATTCTGTCTCCGTTAACTTCCCACTGGTATCCAAATATTCACCCATTATATTACGCTGATAGAAATGGTCTAATTCTAGGTGTTCGGCATGCCAAGTCACAAGATAGTCCACTGATACTAATGACATTCATTTACTGTGAATTGAGTGATAAAAT